TCCTCTTTCAGTGTATAGAATAGAAGGCACAGTCTTAATGTTATAAGAAGAAAAATTGTGTGTTATAATCCATGAGTGTGGATCTGCGGGGGGTGGACAGGCTGGGGAGCTTTTCCCCTTCTAGCTCTGAGCTCGTGGAGCTGGGTGGGGAACAAACTCCTCAGCCCCCCCCACCAGGGAGCTCCCAGTGCTGGTTCTGTGACCCTGGAGCCACTGCTGGGAGACCCTTCTCTGCTAGCCCAAACCTGGTGGTCATGGGGCTTGGGCTGCAAGACCTTATCTCCGAGCCTAAGCCCTATGACTGCAGGGCTCAGGTTGGGAGATAAGCATCTCCCAGCCTGAGTCCCATGACTGCTGGGCTCAGGCTGGGAGATAAGGGTCTCCCAGCCCCCCCACCTCCCAATCACGATGGTGGGACGGTGACTGGGAGATATGGATCTCCCAGCCCCTATTCCGCAATCTGAGAGGAGGGGGCTTGCAGATCAATGCTGCTGGAGCAGGGGGACATAGTCCCTGCGTGGGCTCTTGTGGTGGAGGCTGTCCTGGCAGTAGGCAGCTTCAGGGGACAGGGAGCCATCTCCTGCCCCCTAGTGGATGGCTGACCAGCAGCAGATTTGCCAGGCATCTACACAAGTGCTACCGTGCCATTACTAATGCCAAGTAAATTTGCTACTTGCATTTGCAGGTAGCAAATTTATTTGTGATTAGGGAGATTTACTATGAAGTAAGCATGTGCACTTATAGACCCATGTGCTTACTGCACAGTAAACTATGCTAATTCGCCGTTAAGCATCTTGTGTAGACATGCCCACAGAGATGTAACAAACAGAGTTGGCACCCTGAGCAAACCTGATGGCGGCAGGGTAATGCATGGGTTCCGGTAGCGAGGGCATGGGAACCAGCAGTTTTACCTAGCCGTGAACTGCTAAATAGTCCCTGGCTGAACTGCTGCCACATACTGTGCCTGTCTGAGCTGTTGCTCTTAAGGAAGCAGCAGCCAGGGAATTTTTTTGAGTTTCCAGCCTGGGTAAACCATGGATCTCTCCTAGCTGCCAGTACATGGACTCTGCAGGGGTGGAGGGCGATGCCGGTGCCCCCTCCTAACTTGATATCTGGGGTGGGTGCCCCTCTTACTCACCACTAGTTATGCTACTCCCTAACCACTAGTTTGCAAAGTTAGGCTTCCTATCACTTATTCTCCTTGTTTTAATGAACCTGATGTTCTTTCTTGCACAATGATCCAGTTTTAACAGAAAGGATAGAGGACACCCCTCATCACTTGACTTGTGGTCTGGTAGTTAAGACTTCCTTCTGAGAGGTCAGAGGTGTGGATTTGAATTTCCGCTAAAGGATGGGGAGGATTTAGAAGCCAGGTCTCCCATTTCCTGGGCAAGAACTCTAATCATCTACCCATCATATACCAGGCAGGTACCTCACTCCCATCTCTTGTATTTTTTAATGAAAATGGCTGTGCTTTGTGCTCAACATAATGCTACTGCTGTGTTAAGACTCAAAGCCTGCATATCAGAATGGTTTGCTCAAGGAACTTGGGTGCCGCTTCCTCTAGTTTATAGATTTCAATGAAGCTTTGGTTAGAGCTAGATGGTGAGTTGCTCAGACTGGGGCAGTTCTGGGCAGGTGCAAAAAGCAGAACTGCAGACATCTAGGGAACATTCTGACCAATGAGGGCTTAGCAAATTTAAGGAGCGGCTCAGCTGAGTTTTTTTGTTTTTGTTTTTTTTCCTGGAATCACATTTTGGACTTCAGTTCCTAAAACAGAGCAGAGGCAGATTTCAACCACTGACGTTTGCCTTTGAATCTGACCTTTAATACCTGTCTAATTCTAAGCAAAGCATGTTCCCCTGGAGTTCAACAGATATCTCTTAGGAACTCTGTGCCAAGATAAAAAGCTTGCTCCCTAGGCAGTTATATAGAAAAGGTTACAAGGAGGACCCAGACTTTTTGCCTGTCACATAAATGAGCTAAGGTGGTACTATAAAACACTACAGCAGCTGCCCAGGGAGGCTTTGCTGGGAGAAAGAAAAGGTGTGTGTTTTTATTTGTTCAACTTGTTGACAGCTGTAAAGATCCCTAATGTCTGGAACAAAATGTTCTGTGATGTTTTGCTCATTTCAAATTCTTTTGCATTCCTAAAGACAGTCCTGAAAAAGGACTCCAAAATGAGCTGCAGTTTAGGATTTTAACTTGCTATCCTAAATCCTTTTAACTGCATATAATATATACAAGTGATTCTCAACCAGGGTGCTGAGGCATCTTGAGGAGCTTTGGCATCATTTCAAGTGTGCTGCGGAGTGCCATGCAATGTTATCACTGTTAACTGTGCAAACATGGTTCACAAGATAAACCCAGACATTTCAAATAGGATTCCATAATGTTTAAAATATTCTGACCAGCCGTGGCCTTTCTGAGTTCTTGGCAACAGGAGAATTGCTCTAGTATTTGTCCATAGTCAAAAACTGAGGGACAACTAGGAGTTGGCATTTTCTGAGGGGTGCCTCCAGTCTATCAAGAGGTACCTTGAATCTAAAAAAGTTGAGAACTATTGATATGTGCACTTCTAGACTTTTAACTATGGACAGCTCTTCTAATTTGAGTAGAAAAGATTTCCTAAAAGCAAAGGTAGAGAGAAAGTGCTACAGCTTCACTGCCACTGTAATATGGAATGATTAAATAATTATTTACCTTATAACTGAAGGACTGTTTTTCCTCAAAAATAGTTTGTTTTGTACTTGATTTTCCTCTTTACAATATTGTGCATTAACAACATGTGGCTGGCTGTGGTACTTACATTTGTTAGCATTCCACATAAAATGCAAACTCCAAAGGTATTTAATCTGGTCTGTGTGCATGTGCATCTCCAAGCCTAGCTGTGGCGTGTCTCACTCCTTTAATTCTTGCTGTTCTGACACTGTCTTGGTGTATTTGATAATTGCCAGTTCTCTGTGATGTGATTCTTTGCAAGGGACATATATAAAAGCTGCACATAATGCTAAAAACTGCATGGCAGAAACCCTAAATATTTTAACTTAGCCTTGCTTATTGCTTTATTAAAATTTATTAGCTTATTATTACATTTTTATTACTTTTCTTTTAAGCATTTTAAATTGCGCAAGCATCTTAAAAAAAATCATCCCTAAAAATACAATAATTTAATTAATTTCCATTTCTCTTTAAAAATAAATTAAACTACCTTAAATTATTGGTTTAAAAAATTCACAAATTAGCTATCTTACTACTACAACACAAAACCAAAACCAACTGTGTACTATAACTATTTTACACCAAGGTTAAAAAACTCTAAACAAGCTAAACAACTAATAATACACCATTGGTATACTATTTTCAAGGAATATCACTATCTTAAACGGTGGTCCTAACTGTTATGTTACATTCTATTATCATCTTCTTTATACTAACTAAAATAGTGCTAATTGTAATATGTTGTATATGTTGTTAAATAAAACAAATGTATTTTAAATTAAAATCACATACCTTAATTGCTTTACAATATATAGCCTTTCAAAAATTATAAAGCGATCCATTCAAAACAAAATGTTTTAAAGGATCAAAGAAGGGAATGTTATACAAATAGCATAAATACCAGCTTGATGTTAGGTGAATAACATGGAAATAGACTTTTGTGTATTGCTTTTAATCTTATGTATTTTCCTGAGTTTTGCATTGCCTTAAGAAACTCCGTTTTGTATTGCTCTGTAGCTTGACATAAGTGCTCGATCTTTTACTCTTTTGTATGCTGTATGGGTAAGAGTATGTTTGTGGAAAAGGAAAACATCAGCTAGTGACTGGCTGAAGAGTGCAGACAAATAAAAGACCAAACGAGAAGAATTCACCCCAGAACAGTGAGAAAACAATGGCAATCAACCTTCAAGAAAGAACACAGTAATAACCTAGCTAAAGCCCAGAGGACTGGGTGAATTGACAAAGCTATAAAAAATGGGGTGAGACGTACTGATTTTGGGTATTGTTCTCCATGTCAGCCTGAAGCTTTGGTTTGTCTAACGAGATGTACTGGCAGAAGCCCGACTCCCACTTGGATCAACTTGGCTGGCCACTAAGTTGATCTGAGCACTGATAAGACTGATAATATATACCAGCACAGAACAGAAATTCGGTATGAATGTGGGGTGTGTGTATTAAATGCTCAATTAATAAACATGGCACTTTGCCTTATCACCCTCATAAGGCATCACTTGTGATTTGAAGAGTTGGCAGTTTATGTAACATCTGCACTCCAGTCTCTGCCTCTTTTCCTCCCCCCACCCCCATATGCTGCTTGGGCTGCTCCCTCCTGGACGACAGCACATGGAAGCACCAGCCCTTGCCTGGCCAAGCCACAGCTTTGGCACTGCTCATTGGCCAGGAAGGGGAAGGAGTTTGCATTGGCTCTGTGCCCAGGAGAGACCCCTCCAGCCCTAGCCAGAGGCTAGCTGCACTTGAGAGCAATGGGGAAGGGAAGGAAACTGCAGAGGACAAGTGGAGGAAGAGGCAGAAGCCTGCTGTGCAATGTTGCTAAGTCTTAAATATGAAATTATCATATTGGAAGCTCAAATTATTGTATTTTCTGAAAAACTATTGTACGCTGAAAGAAATATGCAAATACATCTTCTTCTTATTTACTTTATATTGCTCACTGTAACTCACCAGTGAGTGAGTGAGAACTGGAAGGGTTAAAATGATCATATAAATATATTATCATACACCTGGCAACGCTCCTGCTGTGGGTCTGACTCTGGCCTCAACCTAGGCTCAGGGCCAGCGTCAGAGCTGCAGCTCTGCTACACTTTGTAAGGGAATATAAGAGAAGGGGCTTTCCCCTCATGCTGGGGGTGTGGGGGAGGGGGAGCAGGAGAACCTCATCTCATTTTCTAGCAACTACAGGGTTCCCTCGTTGTATGTGGGTTGTGTACGTGCAAATTTGCTCTTATGCAATGACCTTTTTTATACCAAAAATTCGTTACATGAGGTAAATTCATGCTTATGCGATCGGTGTGGTGGAAGCCCGCAGTCAGCTGCTTTGTGCAGTGCACTATGGGAATGACACGCACCAAAATATAATCTCCCATATGGATCTGTGCTCCTCGCTTGCTGCCTCCGACATGTATTTCTGTTGGTGCCATCCCCATTACGGTAACATTCACCCCCACCCTGTGCTTGTGTGTACTGCCTGCTGTTGGTGAGTACCAAAATTGACTAGTAAAAGTGGTAGAAATGAGTCTGGGGGTCAGTTCTGTCGAGGTCTTGTATCCCTATTTGTTACATTGTAAAGTGGGTTCCCTTTGTGCAAATGCAAATTTGAGTTATGTGTCATTTTACAGGAGGACATACAAAAAACTAGAACTCTTTGTTCCAAAATGATACCTTTTATTAGACCAACTGTAAAATGACAAGAAAATTGTCCTTTTCAGCAAGCTTTTGGGATCAAAGTCCCTTCATCAGGCTCTGGGAAAAGTGTATATGGTACAAGATGGTAAAAAGTCCCCATGGGTAAGAAATAAACTTAATTTTTGCACAGATGGAGCTAAAGATGGAAGGCTGTCCCTTGGGGTCCTTGAGAGTGTCTTTGTGAGCTGTGTTGAGTAGCATTTTGATGCCTTGATCAGGTAGAATTCCTTCCCTGGAGGGGTCAGATGGCAGGATGGGAGGTTTCCCGGAAGCGTATGTACAACATAAAGCGATGGGAACCTGTACAGTATATTTATTTCTGCTTTAATCCCAGACTGCTCAAGACAGCCCTGAGCCCCGACCCTGCTACCAAAGCTCCAGGTTCATTTTTGCCTGGAGAAACAGACCGCCAAGCACCCCCGCTTCCTAATCCCTGCGCCCGCCCCTGGCTGCAAGGAGGAACTTTAAGAGCTGTCCCGCCCCCGTCGGGGCACTTTAAGAGCCTGTCACCGCTACAGCTCCCTACTGGTCAGCATTGGCGAGCGCTCGGCCGAGCTCATTGGCTGCGCCGCTCGTGCGAGGCATGACGCGTTGAGCGCCCGCCGCTTCCGGAGTCT